GATCCCCTGGTGTTGCGTCGGAGTTCCGTGTCCGGGGCTGCCTTGCGCTTGTCTGCGACACCTCTGCGGATAAGCTCTCTGCTCGTGCCATCCCCTGTGTCTTCCTTGGTTTCCCGGTGGACTCTCTTGACTTTGCGTTTTACCACCCGCCCCTCCACCATTTCCTCGACTCCCGTGACGTCCGGTTTGACGAGCCAGTGTCCTACTACGCTCGCTACCCCTGTCGAGGTCTCCTGGTTCCCCCTCCTCCCCTTTTCCTCGCCCCCTCTTCTCCTCCTGCTCCCGCTCCTTTGGTACCCCCGCCCCCCCTAGTCCTGCCCCGTCAGGTGTGTCTCACGCTATCTCTCTTCCCTCTGTAGCGCGTCCGGTGGCGCCTCCCTCCCCCCAGTCCTCCTCACAGTCCCCTCAGCAGCCTTCGGCACTTCCGCGACAAGTTGTTGTGGACTCTGGGGGTGCTGTAGCTGGAGGTGCTGGAGCTGGAGGTGCTGGAGCTGGAGGTGCTGGAGCTGGAGGTGCTGGAGCTGGAGGTACTGGAGCTGAGGTGCTAGCATATGAGGTGCTTGTTCAGGAGGTGCTGGTGCTGGGGTTCCTGACCTTGGAGGTTGTGGTTCTTGGGGTGCTGGTAGGTATGATCAAATAACCCGACCCGACCCGACCCGACCCGACCCGACCCGACCCGACCCGACCCGACCCGACCCGACCCGACCCGACCCGACCCGACCCGACTTGGGCGGGCCAGCCGGGTTCCGGGTCGGGTCGGGTCGGGTCGGGTCGGAACTTTTGAGATCTCTAGCCCGACCCGGGTATCGGGTGCCAGGTCAGGCTTGACCCGCCCCCTGGTCGGGTCGGGTCAGGGCCGGGTCGGGTCGGGTCGGGCCGACTCCCATAGGCAGGGTTAGAGGTTCTCCTTAATAATGTGCAGGGGCGCGGGTCTAGCGACCTGCGCCTGCACGGCGCGCCGAGATGCCCTAAAACGCGCGCAATGCGCGCGCCTAGGGTGGGAGCGCGTCCTGTAAATTTCGGATTTAAAAGAAACCCTAGGATGGTTGGCGCGAAGTGCGAATAACTTATAAAAAAACGATTGGCTGATTACTAACTAAACATTATCGTAGGTTCTAGGGTAGATTAGTACGCCAATGTTGCTTGGTGGGTGGCTGCTGGCGTAACTAGCTAGTTAACCTAACTTAATCCAGATCGAAATGCTAGTCGCTGGGAAAACAAGCAAGCGCGATTGCGATCTGGATAACATTGTCGAGAGGAAACCCTCGGGTCGGGCCAGATACCCGACCCGAGATAGGGCGCGGTACCCGAAACCGGGTCGAGTCCATAATCGGGTCAAAACCCGACCCGACCCGCCGGGTCCCTATGCTCATCCGTGCTGGCACTGGAGGTGCTAGCTTTGAGGGGGTTGGAGCTGGAGGCACTCCTACTTCGACGCCTTCTTCACCTCCACACCGTCACGACACATATTACCAGGCTGCTTGTCGGCGTGCGCTCGAGGAGCAGGAGAGGTTGGCGCAGGAGAGGCAGGAGCTGCAGCAGCTAGACCAGCAGGAGCAGCTGCAGGTGCAGTAGGAGCAGTAGCAGCGGCAGCCACAGCAGAAGCTGCAGAAGCCACCCCTTTTGCAGCAGTTGTTCTCACCCGTGAGTGGCCTTCGGGCCCTTGGTCTTCCCTCTTCTGCTCCTATCCGCTCACAGTCTCCCCCTGCCTTCGGTCCTACGTTTCCTCCTCCGGACGCGTCACCTGCTGTTTACTCTCCTCCTCGGTCCCTGTCTCCTCCTCCCGTTGTCCCGCACTCCCGCTTCCGTCCCTGTCCCCCGCGTGCTCGTCCCTCGTCTCCCTTTGACGACCTCCGCGCTGCCCTCCTTTGTTCTAGTCGCCGTCGTTCTCCGCATGCTTCTGTTCTCCCGTCTCCTCCTGAGTCGTCTCTTTCTGTCTCTTCTACTCCTATCTCTGACTACTACCGTGCCGCTCGTCCTGTTGTCCCGCGTGTTCTCGCCTCTCTTGTTACCAACCCTCGTACCTCTCCGTCGTCTGTCTCGGCTCTTACTGCCGCTGTCGCTAACTTTGCTGACACCCGCCGCCTTGACTTCGCCACGCGTGTAGTGGCTGCTCCGCCTGCCTGTCCTCTGTCCGCCGGGGGTGAGTTTGCCCTTGGCTATGACGTCCTAGATGGCAGGCAGTTTGAGCTGGAGTTCTTGGCAGTCGCTTCTCCCTCTCTCTGTGCCATGCTGCTTTCGCCTGAGGGAGATCCCGGCGTCCTTGACATACCGACTCCTCGCACGTACCGTGAGGCAGTGTCAGGGAAGTGGGCCTCTCAGTGGAAAGCGGCCATGGACTCATAGATGGCGTCTTGGAGATCCACATGCATGTACGTCGATGCAGTTCCCCCTCCCAGGGCGAACGTAGTTGACGGCATGTGGATCTTCAAGGTGAAGCGGCCGCCTGGATCACCGCATGTCTTCAAGGCGCTCTACGTGGCTAGGGGCTTCAGTCAGCGTAAGGGAGTTGACTTCTTTCAGACCTTCGCCCCGGCCCCGAAGATGATTACTCCTCGGGTGTTACTTCACGTAGCAGCACATCGAGACTACGAGCTGCACTCCCTCGACTTCTCCACTGCCTTTTTCCAGGGCCGCCTACATGAGGAGATCTGGTTGCGGCGTCCTCCTGGCTTCACTGGCACTTTCCCTCCTGGGACCCAGTGGAACCTGAGACGACCAGTCTACGGTCTCCGCCAGGCGCCCGTGAGTGGCACGATACGCTACACACCACTCTGGCTGACCTCGGTTTCCGCCCTTCGTCCGCCGACCCGTCGCTGTTTGTCCGCAGAGGCTCCACTCATTTCTTTGTCCTTGTCTACGTCGACGACTAAGTCTTCGCTATAGCAGATAGAGTTGCTTTGGCTGAGGTGAAGTTCGAACTGCAGAAGAGACACACGTGCACAGACCTGTGTGAACTGCACCGCTACCTTGGCTTGCAGATCACCTGGGACAGAGCCGCTCGCACCATTACACTCTCACAGTCACACATGGTGCAGCAGGTCCTTCAGCGGTTCGAGCTTCAGTTCTCCACCACACAGCCCACTCCTCTTGCTGTCGACCACAGACTCACCGGCCCTTTTCCCGACGAGCCCTTTGAGTCTAGTGGTCCCTACGCAGAGCTTGTGGGCTGCCTCATGTACATGATTACATGTACTCGTCCGGACCTCACCTTTCCCCTCAGCGTTCTCTCTCGCTTTGTTGCGACTGGGAGACACCGTCCTGTGCTGTGAGGGTGGCGAAGTACCTGGCGACTACATCAGGCGTGGGGCTTGTGCGTGGAGGGACACAGCCAGTTGTACTGACCAGTCACTACGACTCTTCGTACGCCGACGACGTGGAGACCCAGTGGTCTATTCAGGGGTACTGGTTCTGTTTGGGTGTTGGAACTGTGTCGTAGAGGTCTACTTGGTCGTCGTATGTGGCACAGTCCAGCGCAGAGGCAGAGATCTATGCTGGTGCCATGGCTGCGCAAGAGCTTCGTTGGTTCACTTTCTTGCTCACTGACCTTGGTGAGCGGCCTTGCTCTGCACCGACCTTGTTCGCTGACAACAAGGCCATGATCCTCCTTTGTCGAGAGCCTCGACTGGAGGGCAGAGTGAAGCACGTCGACGTGTGGTACTTTCTTCTGGGAGAGTTGCGGCGACGCGGTCAGGCTCGTTTGGACTTCGTGGCCTCAGCGGCCAGCACAGCAGACATTTTCACCAAGGCCCTAGCGCCTAGTGACTCACACAGGTTCTGTCTGCAATTAGGCGTTGTTGACGCTGGTGTTCGGTTGCTGTAGCCTTGTTGTTTGCTTTGCTTGTTTAGCTTTTATATATACTTGTGAACTGTTGAACTGGCCTTGTGGCCTCTTGTTTGTGCTCGGACTGTGTGGTGACTCTGAGCCACCCAGAGCCTTGTTTTGTTGCTTGTTCTTGATTGGTCTTGTGATCGTTGTTTCCCTTGCTTGTTTTGATGGCCCTCACTTAGCCTAGGGGGTGTGTCAAATGTTATAATATCTTGTTAGGCTATAATGAGTAGCAACGTAGGGAGTACAGCAGATTGCTAGGGTTCCTATTTTAACTGCTTCTCAACCCTAATGCAACCATTCCGCCGTTCAACTTCTAAGAGCGAAGTACAACCAACTATGTGAACAACAAACATCCACTCATTCTATAATTCCTTTCAATAAAATGCCCATATGTTAAGACCCGGGTCTTATAAATCTTATTACCATTTGTTAAGACCCCCCACATTTTTTTTCCTTTAGTTTTCATAAGTACGTGAAGATGAACAGGGGTGAGTGAAGGAACCCATGATGACAAAGCACAGAACATTGTTGCTGTGAGAAGAGCAAGGTTGACAATGACACCGCACTTCGCAGGCTGCCGTCGTCATCACGGTTTTACAATGTATCGGTGACGAGAAAGGGAGAGTCACTGCTCCTGATCATGTGCGGGTGTGATGAAAGGTGAGCGTCAAGGGCTGCTCGAGATAGACGACGCAAAGCATTTGCATGTCAACCCAACAGTTACCACCTCAGGAGATATAGGTGCTGCGAGAGTTACTCAATGCAGAGTAGCTCTGGCAGTTGGATTTGTCCAACGTGAATCACTCAACCGCTTGAATGCGCGGGTGAATGAAGCGAATGTATGTGGTGAAAATGGGAGTCGAAGCGGGTACGGGAGAGTGAGTGGAGATGAGAATCATGAATGGTGAGCGCTGTCATCATCTGGTAGGTTGGTTTGTTCCGAGCAAGATGAGGTGAATTGGAACATCGGGGATAGTGAGACACTCTGAAAACCGTCTGTTGAACTCAAATATATTAGCTAGGTACACAAGAAATATGTACATTTAAATCACAGCACGACCGACTCACTCGTCGTCGTTAATGAGAATCCCTGCCGTACCGGGGTTGATGGCGCACTCACTCCTCATCATCGTTGATGAATTTCCCTGTACCGGGGTTGATGGCGCACTCACTCCTCATCATCGTTAATGAATTTCCCTGTACCGGGGTTGATGGCGGCGACGAAGAAGAAGGCGATGCTGGCGAGCAGCAGCGGCTCGAGCTCCCACACGGGCACGCCGATCTCGATGTTGAGCTGCGCCAGCGCGCCCCTGCCCGTGATCACCTCGCCGATCAGGCTCGCCGCAAACCCTAATTGCGCCAGCCGCCCCACGAACAGCTCGTTCGCCTTGGTGAATCCGAACAGCGGCCCGTCCTCGCTCAGCCCCAGCGCCGCCTTGACGCTGCCGGGCTTCACGGGCGGCCCCACCGGCTCGTCGTCCACGAATCGCCCGCGGTCGCCGAGCCCGCCGATGGCGCCGAGCACGGTGAAGGCGATGAAGAAGAGCAGCAGCGGCTCTGTCTCCGTGATGGGGATGCCCGTCTCGATGTTGAGCTGCGACAGAATGCCCGCGCCCGTGATCGCCTCGCCCAGCAGCGACGCCGCGAAGCCCAGCATGGCCACGCGCCCCACGAACAGCTCGTTCGCCTTGGTGAACCCGAACCCGCCCGACGTGCCGAAGATGCCGTCCTCCGTGCGCAGCTTCGTCGCGGAGACGCTCTTAGCGGGGACGGCGGCTTTGCGCGAGCTGAAGAGCGCGGTGACGCCTAGACCGCGGGGGGCTGCTAATTGGGGAACGACGGGGAGGCTGCGTGTGGCGAGCTCGGTGCCTCTGACGGCAGAGCTGAACGAGAGGCCTGAGAGGACCTGACGAGAAGCGAGTGCGGAGGCCATGGCTGTCGGTTCGAGGCGAACTGGTCGAGCAGAGGGTGAAAGATGCGAGAAATTTGATAAGCATGAGTAAGATGGATATTCAAATGCAACTGTGAAATTGCAATTGGCGAGGGTGAATTTGTATTGTAGCATCAAGGGTGAGAAAGCCAGTCGAGGCGCGCCAAGTTAGGTGTTCAATGTTCGTGTGACATGTCCTGTGGTGGTGTGTGGGGGTTGTTCGCTTTCACCGAAGCGCACTGCACCTGGTGCAACCTTTTGGAAACCTGTGCTGGAGATCTCTAACGTGGCTGGACCTGGTACGCGAGTTCCTTGCGAGGGACGTGGACGTCCCTGGTGCTCGAGATCTTCGAGGAAGTGCTGCACTGCGAATGTGTTGACTAGTCGACGTGGTGGTGCTGTGGTGGCTAAATTCTGCTGACCTGGACATGAAAAGTAGCGGGGACTATTTTCGTGGTCAGCAGCAGCACAGCGAGCTCACTACGGTGGGCGAATGTGGCTGCTCTGCTCTCGCGAATTTCTGTGATCTCCCTCGAATCCCCCACATTGAACTTCGCAACAGCATCCGCGTTGTAGCATCTCGGACCTGGGAATTATGAGAGATAAACTGGCATATCCCGTACGATAATTATAACCATAATACAGGTGGCCAATCATGCAATTTTAGAACTTCTCACCACAGAACTCACATTGAGATAGTATGTATGTCTCTAAATTGAGCCAGCCATGCCTCGACCAATCCACTCATCGCCCTACCCGGACCAGCACTTGTCCCGTGCTCTTCCTTTTTCCTGCTGCCTATCCCATGGACCTCACTCTCCTCCAAACAACTCCCAAGCCCACCTACCACCACCTCAGCATCCCCATAATCCTCCATGCACCGCACATAGGCGGCAATCTGCTCCCTTTGATTCGGCAATGTCGACAAAAGACAGCAGATGCCGGCCGCCAGACAGCTGGCATCGAATGCATTGGCACTGCGTGTGCGGCGAGAGAGGCAAGCAAGAAAGGGGTCGAGGAGGAGGAGACGAAGGTGGGAGAGGGAGACGAGCACAAGCAGCTGCACAGTCAGGGCACAGTCGCCGCTGCCCCTGCTGGTGCTGGCGGTACTGGTGCTGGCAGCAGCAGTGTCAGGCGAAAGACTGCTGGTAACCGCAGTAGCAGCGGCAGCAGTGTGAGCAGGAGCAACAGCGTGTGGGTGCTGCAGGGAGGCCAGCAGGCACTCCACGGACCGGGCAGCGGTGGGGGTTTCACACCCCCTGGCAGCGCATGCAGCCATGCGCACCAGCCCTCGCACCAGCCGCACCTGACCCACCTCCGCCAGTGCCCCCGCGACACCTGTCACTGTCTCGGCAAAATCTCCGACATTTTTGGAGGAACATCCTTTTACCGGAGAAGAACCTCGTCTTGAGGAGGAAGCAGCAGCAGCCGCTGTGCCTGCCTTCAAAGCAGCAGCATTCCCTGCACCTCCCACCCCTTCCCTGCCTGCTGTGCTGCCGGCCCCCTGTCCTCCTCCGCCCGCATCCCACGCCTCTCCCCATGCCACCGATTGGGCCATGCTGGCCTCTGCTCGACCATATGCTGCCAACATGTGCCGCCCCATGGCAACTGCTGACCTTGCTGCCTTCCCCACTGATGCTGCTACTGCTGCCTCACCTCCTCCGTCTCCCGCTCCTGCTTTTGCCCCCCCAGGTTTCCGCACATGCCGCCTCTGCTCTCCCCCCACTACCTCCCCCTCTCCCTGCTCACACCGCTGCTCTACCTCCTCTCTCAGCTCCCCTACCAGCTGCAGCAGCACCCGTCTCTTCTCCCTCTCCATCCCTGCCACCACCTGCACAGCTCGCATCACTCGCTCTTCCTCTGCTCTCCTCAGCGCCCAATCCAGAGCCACAAGCCCCTCTGCTGTTCGCGCCCCGCCTAGCCCTTCTTCCCCTGCTCCTGCAGCACCTCCCCTGCCGCTACCGGGCATTAGACTGGCAACACTGCCCGCTAAGGCTGCATGGGGAGTAGCAGACGCTGTATGGGCGCTGCCAGAGACAGAAGCAGCAGTGATGCTGGCAGGGGTGTTGGGAATGCGGCCAGAGGCAGAGAGGCAGGAGGCGAGGCGGAGGATGAGGGGGAGGGAGAGGGAGGGCAGGCCCGAGGGGAGGAACCACGCAGCCAGGGGCGGGAGGAACATGGCGTGGGAGGGGTGCGAAAGGAGCAGCAGCGATGCCACGGCAGCTTCCAAGAAGGTTTTGCAGTTGGCAGAGGTCAAGGGGTGTAACCTTTGTTTCATAGGTCCTCTTCTCTCCGTCTCTCCACACGCTTGTTGCAGGGCCTGTAGCAGCAGGGGCTGCACGGCAGTCCGCCAGAGGAGTGAGGGAGAGGAAGGCGAGTATAAGTCCGAACCACCTCCTCTACCTACTCCCCCTGCTCCACGCACCCCTCTCACAGCCCCTCTGCTGCTTCCACTCCACCGTTCACTCCCTCCTGTGCTCGTTACAAGCACATCTTCAAACAGGCACGTGCAGTACTCCCAAGCGCCCAACTCCCTCTCCATCTGCAATATCCGCCTCTCAAACCCCTCCCGTCTCCTCCTCTCCCCACCACCTCCCCCTTCCTCCCCCGCCCCTTTCCCCTCACCCCCCTCCCCATCCACATCCCCTCCCTTACCCCCCCAGGACCACAGCCCCGCCCAGCCACTGCCCTTGCCCCCATCCGCCTTCCCCTCCTCCCCCCGCTGCCTCGGCCCTGTGCCCTGCAGGGCTTTAAGCGCCTCGGAAAAGCCGGCTTGAAGAATAGAGGCTGCATGGCGTCGGAGCATGAGTCGCAGCGCCATCACCACTGCATGGCACGCGCCTCCTGCCCACTCGTCCCTGCTCCTCGTGCCACTAGTGCCGGACGCACCAGTGTTGGAATTACGAGAAGCACCAAGTGCACCAGTGGTATTGGGGGTGCCAGAATGACGGGGATGGACTGTGGGAACAGCACCACTGGAGGTACTGGCAACGACAGCAGTTACACCATCAGCATCACCAGCAGTTCCAGCTCGAGCAGCAGCAGCACCATCAGCAGCAGCAGCACCACCAGCAGCAGCAGCAGCAGGCGCAGGAGGAGCAGTGACTCTCCTTCTCACGCCTCCCTCGTCCCTCCCAATGAACTCCAGTCCCTTGGCCTCAAACGCAGCCACACCACTGGAGAACCCAGCCACAGCAGCCCGTGCTCGACCCATGGCCTGCCGGAACGCCGCCTGCCCATGCACCTGCGCCGCAACCTGCGCCTTGCTCTCCGCACCCTGCCCCTCTGCCCCCTCACCCAGCCCCCCCTGCCTGCCCTGCGTGCTCGCTACCCCCTCTCCTGCTGTGCTGCCTGTGTGGAGAGAGTGGGTGACGAGGGCATGGGAGGGTGGTGGGAGGAGGGTGAGCGTGCATGCGTGCATGAGGCTGAGCACACTGGCCGGCACCACCGCCACCACTGCCCTCGACACACACCGCAGATGCTGCTCCAGATACTCCTCCCTCCCTCCTGCTAATGATCCTGATCCTGCTCCTGCTGCATCACTTCTACCCAGCCGTGCACCTCTGCCACCGCCAGTGCCACCAGCAGCAGCAGCAGCACCACCAGCACCCGCACCGGCACCAGCACCGGAAGCAGCACTAGCATGATGAGCAGAAGCATTTTGACTAGCACCAGCAGAGGCAGCGGTACCAGCAACTGTTCCAGCAACTCCTGACCGCATCAACACCAGCAAGCACCCCACCTGCCCCAGACATTCCGGCTGCAGCCTCACCCGAGCCTGCAGCCACGGCAGCAGGCTCGGCAGTAGCGCCCAGAGGAACCCAGGCTCGGCAGCAGCAGAGAGCGCTGCAAGATGGTCAGAACGAATGGCCTGCACTAGAGCCATGTCCTGGAGCAGGCGACAGGTGGCGTGCAGCGATTGGCCGGCGACGGGGTGGGACTGAATGTGGTGGAGGGAGGCAGCGTCTGCGAGAGCGAGGGAGAGCTGTTGCAGGCTGGCGGGCGTTGAAGGGGCGTCTGGGTGCTGCCAGTGCGACACCTGTAGGCACACATAGGGGTGGTAAAGAATGGAGGGGGTTTGGAAAGGGGTTGAGAGGTAAGTGGAAGGGAAGGGAGATGAAGATGTGCCACTGAGGTATCTGGGGCCAAGTAAAGCAGACAGGCGGGATTGAAGAGGATTGCAATCTGCAAGTAGAGGCGACAGCAGCGAGGTGGAGCAAGAGAGGGCGAGAGAGGGAGTCATGGATAGTCTGATGAGAACAGAACTACAACAAACCGGAGGAAAGACGGAGCAAGTTGGATAAGGGCTATGGAAAAGAGGTGTGCTTGCTGAACGTGGTTGCCATCACGGACAAACCACTGTGGTGTACCATCTCTGACCACCACTGTACCATCATCCTCTCCTCCTGCCCTCACCTCCTCTCACTCACCTGTCCCAACCTGCCCTGCCCCCTCATTTGCCCGCTCACCTGCCATGACAGTCGCTGGAACCACTCTCCAATGCTCCCATCCGCCCCATCCTTCCACCCCATCCCCGCCATCCCCTCGCCCCCATCTCCCACCGCTCGCCTATCCCCTCCCTCGCTCCCACTCTGAGCCCCCCCTCTGCCTGCACCTCTTGCTGCGCCTCTAACCTCTCCCTCCACACCCTGCCCTCCCACAAACAGCCGAGCCAAGCCGTCCAGCCGTGCGCACGCTGCCTGCCTCAGGCGGTGCCAGCTGTCCTCTCTGCGGGAAATGATGGCGGAGAGACACGTGGCGGCATCTGATTGGAGCTCGGCGAACGAGAGGAGGAGAGTGAAGAGCGGATCGTGGTCAGACGGAGGGGGGATGGGAGGAGGATGAGGGGCGATGATGGTAGAGGTGGAGGCTGGTGGGGGCGCTCGTTTGCTCCAACCGCCAAACCAACTGCTCCTGCTGCTGCTGCTGGCGCTGCTGTCCCCGCTGCTGGAGCTGCCTTGCTCTACTGAGCCCAGAGCCACTCCACCTGCTACTTCCGGCAAGAGGAAGTCCGCAGCTACTTCAGCAGCCACCTGGCTTGCCTCCGACCACCCAGGGGCTGACAGGCCAGCAGCAGCAGCCGAGCGAGCGCAGGAGTGTGCGTGGAGTTGGGTTGAGCGGGCAAGACGGTGGGTGGTGAGGATGATAGGCAGGGAAAGGTGCAGCGAGAGAGAGGCACGGTGCTGCAGCAGCCACCTGAGGAGTGCGGCTGTGTGGCGGATGAGAGAGAGGATCTCTCGTGCACTGCGCAGCACTGCCAGGCCAGGCACGGAGCAGAGGAACGAGGAGGAATTAGACTCCGAATCTATACTACTGCTGCTGCTGGTACCAGTGGTGCTAATGGTGCTGGTGCTGGTATTGCTGCTTTCATCAATAGCAGCAGAGCCAGCAGCACTACCACGAGCGACCCCACCGCCCACATGCTTACCACCCCACAGCTCCTCCTCCCATCCCGCCGCGCCCTGCTGCTTCAGCCGACCCATGGCCCTGCCCACTGCCTGCTGCACCCCTGGCAGCACCTGTACCAGCGCTTGAGCCACGTGCAGCGCGGCGGTTGGGGAGAGGTGCAGGGTGAGGGCTGAGTGGGCGGCAGGGAAGTGCTGCCAGGCTATGGATAGGTCCAGGGAAAAGCCGAGGAATATGGGCACCACCCATGTCAACCCGCCCACTGCTGCTGCCCCTGCTGCTCCTCCTGCAGCTGGGTCATCAACACTTCTTCCTCCTACTGCTGCTGCTACTGCACTTGCGCCTCCTGCCCCTCCCCCTCCACCACCACCGCCGCTTCCGCTTCCTCCCTGCTGCTGCTGCGGCGGCGCCCGTTGCTTCCAGAGGCTCCAGCCGCCACCAGCAGCCGCAGCAGCTGCAGCAGCAGGCGGCGCAGAGGAGGACGACGAGGGGGAGGAGGGGGGCAGGGCGAGCAGCCTGCGGCGGACGAGCTCGTGCATGAAGGGCAGGTCGGCGCGGAGCGAGGAGGGGTGGAAGAAGAGCAGCAGGATGAGCGACGAGGTGGAGGGCAGGGAGGCTGTGACTGCTGCCACTGCGGAGAGAGTGTCGTGGGGTGTATGTGCTGCTGCTGCTCCTGCTGCTCCTGTCTGTGAGGGTGCTTGCGTTGGAGGGAAGGAGGAGAACGTGGATGCATGCACAGAGGACGAGTAGGAGGACGAGAGAACCGAAGAGGCTAGATTGGAAGTTGAGGAAGAAGCAGGTGAGGAGTCGACAGCAGCAGCTTGTTTCCTGAGCAAGGCCTGGATGGCCATCCATGTGACGTCAGGCGGGGGAGCAAAGCGCGAGAAGAGCTGCTCCAGTCTGGAGGTATCCGTGGGCGCTATCACACACGGCAGTGACAGAAACGCTGCTGTCTCCGCCCCTCCAATGCCCAGACCAGAGCCCTCTGACCCCAAACCTGATCCCAGGCCTGCGCCCGAACCAGAGTCCAAGCATGAAACAAGGCCCAGCTTTTCGATGTCGAAGCACTCTCTGGGGAACGGAGACCACAGGAAGGCGTCGGTATCACAGCTGGCACTGCTGCTGCTGCCATCACTCACTTTGCTCCCCACTTTCTTGCCTGTTGCCTGTCCTCCTGCAGTCCCCTTATGAGCCTCCGATTCTCCCGACCCTGCTCCTGTGGTTCGGCACAGCTGGCATAGGTCGTCAAAGTCGCGAGTCAAGATCTCACCCAGGGCCTCTCCTGAGCCTGGCCCGGAGGTTCGGCACCAGTGGCGGTACGCAGCGATGAGTAAGCGCTCACGTGATTGGTTGGGGAAGAGATGGTGGAGGAGGAGAAGCAGAAGTGCGTGAGTGTGAAGCACCTGTGGGATGGGGTCCAGATAAAAAACAATAAGCCAAGCACAGAACGAGCTATACATACACAGAGATACAATGTTTTGTAAGCATGTACAGGAACGGAACAAAGACCAGTGCAGTTTCCCTTTGCTTCTGCAACCCAGCCTACCCTATCATCACCTTCCATACCATCCTCAGTTAAACTTATCCTATTCTCATGAAAAATCTACTAAAATTACAATCATATCCCCCTTTACACCCATGCGCTAGACGCCTTTACCTGCAGCAGCAGCGACTGCATCTCGTCGCCCTCATCTCCCCCCACCACGCCTTCCAGCGAGCTCCCCAGGAACAAACCACGTCGCAGCCCTTCGATCGTCTGCCTCAGCGCGCGGTAGAGCTTCAGCGCGGCGGCCAGCAGCAGCACGAACCCCACCAGCTGCTCGCCGTGCGCCGTCCACCACGCGCGCTCCGCGCTCCACTCGTCCGGCCGCTCGCGCAGCTCGCGCTCGCGGTCATCCGGCGCGCGCAGGTACTCGAAGTCCCATAGCGGGAAGGGGAGATCGGGAGACGGCGAGGGGATTTGCGTGAGATTGAGCTGAGTGGATGTGGATGGAGGTGGTGGTGCAGGGAGTGTGATTGAACGGAGGAAGTCTCGCGGTAGGTTGGCGCGGAAACGCAGGAGTTCGGAAAGGAGCGAGTTCCCGAAATCGAGGAGGGAGCGGAGAGCGGTGGCAGCGGCGTTATTAGGAAACGATGATGTCATTGCTGATGGCGGCTGAGACACATCTCCTAGCTCATAACTGAGGTGCTGGATGGTACCGTACATCGGAATTTGCAAGCAGTGTCTGACTGATGAAGCCGGAAATGGTGCAGGGTGACTCTGAAAAACGTTTGAGGGCGTGAAATTATCGGTGATTATGATCACAAAATGTTGCATTACAAAAAGGTAAGTTTCGGTTACATACGGTTGGCGGTGGAGAGAGTGGAGTGCACCCTTCTGAAATTGAAGTGAGCAGCCTTCTTCACGGCACCTGTTCGGTTGAGTCTTTTGCGAAAGACGTCAGTCAAATTTCGTCTATTTCGGAGGTATCATTCGCGAATTTGTTTTTCGCGACAACAATGCTGTAGCCTGACAGCAACGACACCACTGCCCAAGTCTTCACCTCCATTGTTGCCATAAATTCCGTCTCATATCCTTGCAAGTCATTTGAAATCATCTCACTTCTCATCAACACGATCACACATCACTTCGAGATGTCTTTCACGCTCGATGACTTGCTTGGACCAGCAAAGTCTGATGGCTTCGAGATGTTTGGGGCCCACACACCCCAGCCATCGACCTCGAAAGCAGCTGGTGCAGGTCAGTTTATGCGAAATGATCGTCATAGCGTCCTTTCATTTCTTTGTTTAACGTTTGGCCACCTATTCAGCTGACGACATGTTTTCTGACTGGAAAGCGAGTGAAAAGCCTAATAAACCGGGGGAGAATACAAAGAAACCCATGAATTTCAACAGCCTGTAAGATACGACATGTCATGCCGGAGACTGGCTTCTTGGTGACTCGTGTTTCAACACCGTTTGTTTGCGATGTTCAGGGTGGACTTTGACCTTGATAGCGGTTTTAGTAAGTTCGACATTTCCATGAGTGACCTCGATTTCGCCGATACGAATTCAGACTCTCCAAAAGCTGAACCGGCAAATGCGAGGTAATACATAATCACCGTCTCTCGTGAGTTGTGCATTGCCTAACATCGCCGTTATCTTTCAGGCCAAAGCTTGACCAAGGTCTTTCGCTCGCGTCATCCATGAAGGATGAAGAGACAGACGAATTTGAAACTGAGTTTGGAGACTACGAAACTTCCGGGTTACCTGAAAATGAAAAGCATACGGAAGAGCCAACTCAAGATGCTAACGCGTTGAGTCAAGACATTCCAGAGCTAAATGAATCCGGAATCCAAAGTCCGAGAGAAGCCAACATTACTGAGAACGAGCCAACTGCTCGAAACAGCCCAGGAAATACTTCAAACGTTTCTCCTACTAACCCAGCAAAGAATGGTCAGACGAGTCTAGACGATCTGCAGGATGAACCGCTGGAGCCCGATGAGCCTACAGAACCGCTGCAATCTTCCAAGCCTGTTGAGCCGCTGGAGCCCTCTGAGCCTGATGAACCACCGGAGTCCCCTAAGCCTGCTGAACCCCTGGAGTCTTCCAAGCCTGCTGAACCTCTGGAATCTTCCAAGCCTGCTGAACCTCTGGAATCTTCCAAGTCTGCTGAACCTCTGAAGTCCTCCAAGCCTGCTGACCCACAGGCGACCAAGAAATCTGCACAAGTGTAAGCACCTTAATTCTAAACGTTCACGTGTTTCTATCACCATTTTTTTAACTATCCAAGTTCGTCTGGCAGAAACGCCAATTCTCAAGGACCAAATGGCGATAATTCTGAAGTGTTGATGGCAAAAAAAAGCATGCTTGAATTGAATAAGCCATCTGCTGCATCCGATCCCGGCAAAGGGTATGCTGCAACATCTTATTTCGACCTCGAAGTGTTTGGAATCGTATTGATATCGTTTTTAACTGCAGAGGGATATCAAGAGCGTCATTGACTCAGACAAGAATGAGCGTGAATCTAACTGGACAGTCAGCTCGACTGGCTAACACGAGTGTCAAGCTACTTGGACAAGATCGAGCAGATTCAGCAGTTCCGGCTGCTTCCATGTTTAAGGCGAGGGGTGCACAGTCCACATTGCCAACAGCAAGTTCTCTTGGACAGACACCTGGTGTTGGAAGGCCTATGCCTGGCCGCATCTCCTCCCTCATGAGCTTGAACAGAACCACAAGCTTGCCGCTCAGTCGAAATGCTCCCAAAGAACCCAACTTGAATCTGGCCCGTCAACCAGCGGGACAGCAGAGATCCATTAGCAGCACCGCCCAAGAAAAGAGTGTTGTGAAGCCACTTCCCCTTGCATCGCGCACGAGCATCAATCCTGGAGTTGAATCAGCTAGACTCGGAAATCGTACTTCTTTGAAGGTAGGCCTTTGCATTGTCTTTTACTTGTTTCGATGTGGTTATTCGGATATACTGCATTTTATGGCATTTGATCCAATGCCAGATCTCAACAAGCTCCGGCCTTCATTTTAGCCAGGGGAAAACTACAACTGAGAATGGAGCTATGGGAAGCAAGATCAGCAGTTTGCGAAAGTTGCCTTCTATCTCCAGCAAACCTATTGTGGCAACATCTGTCCAGCCTCGGGTGGCTCATGTCCAAGTTGATGAAGCCTCGCCGCCAGCAACTTCATCTAAACCCTCACCTTTGGAATCTCAGCTGAATAACACATTTGTTTTTGGGCAGCATTCTCCACTGTAAGAAGTCAGCGATGGGCTGTTACTTGCCAAGGGAGCAGTTCTCAGATTTGATCCTGATTCACCACTATGTGCCACAGGGAAAACAGCACATCGCTCAGCAAGGACGTGGCGAATGGCTCCGAGGCTGATGCACAGGAACTTGTTCTTATAGAATCAGCTGAAGAAAAGGAAGACAAGGGTGACATGACGCTATCCTTCCCTGCTGCTGAAAAAACGACTAGGGTGAGCACAGTTTGATGCACATAAATCCTTGGCAAAGCATCTTCCACTGCTCATGCTATTGATTGCCTTTACAGGAGCAAGACAATGTGCAGAACATGGGGATGGTGGCCTTGCAAGCTAGCGGCGGCGGACAGCTCACGGAAATCCAGAACAAAGGAATTGGAGACATGCGCATGGAGTTTGAAGGAGAGGCAACAGGAGTTGATGAGCTTGATCAGGTAAGCTGAGAAGAGTTTGATAAGTTTCTTGGATGGAGCTCTTTTTCACTCTTCACCTTTTTGTGCAGGTGTACAGGATGCTGCAGCGTAAGCATGAAGAAGCGAAGGATCTACTTGTGAGGGTGATGATCAACCACAACCTGTTGGTGCGAATGAATGAGAAATACAGCTACGATAACATTGAGAAGAAGCGGCAAGATATTCTGCGCTTGATTTCACGTGACACTGCCGAGGAGTAGGGACGTTCTGGTTACCGTACATAAGGAACTAATTTGCTCAATAAACCTTACGGTATGATGCTGTGAAGATTTCCAGACCACCAACCATCAATCACACCCAAGGAAAAATAATTAATAACACTTGCCGTTGTTAGAATGACCAAACCCAGAAGGAACAAGTCGCTTACTGTGCTGTGCTATTGCCAGCTAACACAAGCATGGTTTGGGTAGGACAACAGCTGCTATCCTCCAAACCATGCAATAACAGGATGCTACCCAGCTGAGGGATGAAATATAACGACGGTGAAAACCGTCTGGTATAAAAAGAATGTAATTGGTACTTCGAAGACTAGACCGTAAGCACCTACACGTGGTGCAGTTTCCACTCAGATCATAGTTTCCGTGTCTATGTAAGCATCGCAGTCTCCACTCAGAGAAGGCACCAGTGTTGGAACGTAGCCATTACCATGAAACTTCTGTTGCACAGTAAGTCTGCTCAAATATGCCCCTCCACGGGGATCTCCACTCTGGCGATTACCTCCAGTGCTGCAGTAATCGCCATCACCATAGCGGTTACCATAATGGTTACCAATGTTAGGTGTCAGTGTATCACTGTCATCTTGCTGCTGCTCGTGCTGCTGGATGTCAACAAATATTGGCGTTTTTTTTTTGCTGCCACTGTTGAGATTGCTTTCACCTGCATCACCCCCATCAGTAGCAGCATCACCCTGAATCTCCTCCTGAATCCCCTGTTGCCTCACCTCCCCCCTGGCACTGACAAGGAATGATGCCGCAACGTCACTCTCCCTCCGCACCACTTGGAACGTCGACCCCATGTCACTCTCCCTCCTCCCAACCCCTCCATACCCTACTCCACCCATTCCCATATCCATTCCCCCCATACCCAAGCTCCCTTCCCCTCCTCCCTCCCCTCCCTCGCCTGCCACCCCTCCCACGCTGCTGCTCCAGATGCCTGTGCTGTCATCCACCCCCTCCTCCCCCCACAGATCCCCCACCGTCTCCTGCATATCCAAAGCACTCTCCAGCTCAGCAGCAATCCAGCTCACTGCACTGCTCATGCTCATACTCCTGCTGCGGCTGGCAGTGATGCTCCGGCTGCCAGCACCACTGAAGGCAGCACCTAACCGGGCAGCACCCATGCGGCCGGCAGCCGAAGCAGCAGCTGCAAGGTTGTCGTGCTGAAAGGCCGAAAAGGCGACAGGAGGAGGAGGGGAGACATCGGGACCGAAAAAGGCAGCGACGGCATCAAACGCGTCATCATCAGCGACTGGGAGTGCTGTGTACGCATCCATGCATGCCGGTGCAGCTGGAAATACAGCCAGTGGGGTAGGGGAATTGGCAGGCAGAGGGGCAGCAGCTTGCATGTTGAATCGCTGCTGCATGTTCACTCCTTGCACGAGGTCGCAGAACATGTCTGGTAGCTCCACAGCGCGCCCTCCGCTCCCTGCTGCTGGAAACACTCCCTGCTCTTTTGAAATATCACCCTGCCGATCTGAAAAGCCCCCCTGCTGACCTGGCACAACGTCTTGATGAGCTGGTATATCGCCACTCGCCGCTGTGTAGCTGACATGTGATTCGAACGTATTGACAGCGATGACAGGTGGGGCAAGGCAGCTTGTGCTGCCTCTGCCGTCCGTGTTACCGTAGGTGTCACCCGGAGCATCAAAGGTGTGCTCCCCAGCTCGCCACCCTTGCACCCCATGTGATGGCTGTTGCTGGTAACACTGAGCCTGCTGTAGCAGGTTTGGTTGCTGCTGCTGCTGCTGCTGCTGCTGCTGCTGGTAAAGGGGGGACTGCTGCTCAAGCACATGTGGCTGCTGCTGCTTTGGTGGCACCTGCAGCAGCATCGGTGGCAGCAGCAAAGGCTGCTGCTGCTGTGCTACTGTCTCCTGGAGCTGCATCCGTGGCGTTTGTTCCATCTGTTCCATCTGTTGCATCTGTTGCACCTGCCTCATCTGCTGCGAAGCGTTCATCTGCCTGGCAGCAACGACCGGCTCACTGCCGAGAATGGCGCAAGCAGCACTGCTCGGGCAGCCGCCGCAGCCCATGTCTGGAGCACCACCATCACCAGCACCAGCACCAGGAGCGCCAGCAGCATCAGAAGCACCTTGGGAACTTGGCTGAAAATGCGCTGGTGTCCTTCCAACACTTGCTACCCCAAACGCAACACCAGCGCCGATGTTGGACGCAACAAGAGCCTCGGGTGTAGACCCTGGTGCCGACGAGTAGAACGAAGCAGGTGTTTTGACTGCAAAGTGCGTTTTACCGTCCTGTGTGACTCCAACGCATGTGTTTGTAGCGGGTACGGATGCGGCCCCATGCAAAGGTGCACCTCTGGCCACAACCCCTGCGGCTGTAGCGCCAGCTGTAGCAGCTGTAGCAGCAGCAGGGGTGGTGGGCAGAGCTGCGATCCCTGGGACCTGCTCCTCCGCGCGTATAGCTGTTACCGTATAATTTCCAATCATGGCCGTTGATGTAGCAGCTGTAGCGGCATCTGCACCGTCGGTTCCGACCGCTACAGCTGAATCAGCTGGCGGAGCCGGCAGTGCTGACGTCGCAGCGCGTGGTTCCGTGGGCACAAGCGGCGGCTCGCAGCACAGCAAGTCGACAGCGGCTCGCCCGCCATTGAGCTCGTGCGGTCCGTCTTGAGCTTTGGGCTGTGCTGTGGGTTGCGCTGTGTTCTGCGCTGCGTGCTGAGCTGTCTCCTGCTCCGCTGCTTCCTGGCTCCTCTTCAGTCGCTTCAGCGCCCTCGCTCCTTCCGCCTCCCCCTCGCTGTCACCCTCCTCTCCGCCGCTCCCAGCCTTCTCCTCCTCCCTCTCCGCCATCGACTCATCCTCCGCCTCCCCTTCCGCCTCCGCTCCCTCCTCCGCTTCCCCAGCCTCCGCCGGACCCTGACACGTGTCCGCTTTCGGTTCGTCCACGTCATCAGGGAAGTTCAGCAGCGCTTTGGCGCCTCGTATCTCCCGCGCAGCCGCGTCGTACGCGCGCGCCGCCGCTTCCGGGGAGTCGAACGTCCCCAGCCACACGCGCCCCTTTCCCCCCGCATCCCGGATTTCCGCCGCCCATCTCCCCCATGGGCGGTAGCGCACCCCGCGGTACGCGGGCACTGGGGAACCATCCGCCGCTGTCGGGGGAGGTGGCGGTTGGCTTCCCGGCGCCTTCGCCTTGCGCTTTCGCTGCCCTTGCGCCTCCGCCTGCTCCTCCCTCCGCGCCTTCTTCGGGCTCCTCCTTCCGCCGAACCGCCCGCCAACAGTTGCGCCAGCAGCTGCGCCTGTGTTTCCGCCGATGGCAGAAGCCGGCAGCAGCACTGGAGTCATGGCCCCCGCGAGGCCTGCGGTCGGCGCACCCTGCGGCGCAAGTTGGGGAGTGACGGCTGGGCTGTCGCCGCCAATCATCTGCTGAAGGGCCTGCTGGACCCGCCCCGCCACGAGAAATGGCTGCGGCGACTGCGGGGCCGATTCGGAAGCCGCGCAGAACAGCTGCGGCGATTCTTGCGCCGAGCCGAGCGCGGAGTGGGATAGCTGCGGCGACCGCTGAGTCGAGCCTAGCTGCGTGTGGAACGGCTGCGGGCTGGCGGGCGGCGGGGGTGCGGGGGAGAAGCGCGAGAGTAGCGCGTTCTGTGGGAGCAACGCGCTTTGGAAATGGAGGGCGCTCTGGGGGAGGAACGGGTGCGCGGGCGAGCCAAGGCGCGGGGCGGGGGACGGCGTCTGCGCGAAGCAGTATGGGCGCGGGGGTTGCGGCGGAGTGGGGGGCGTGATGTGCGGCTGCGGGGAGAACGGCGGAAGCGGGGGAAGCGGAGAGGAGCTAACTATCGGATGGGGAGGCTGTACCGAGGGGCACATGGTTGACTGTACGCGATAGTCCGCTGTATCCAACGGCGTGTGGTAGGAGGTTGGTAGCGGCCGCTGTGGTTCAAACGGACCGGCAGTTTCGTGAACTATTTGGTGGTGCAGCGGCTTCGACGGTGGCGCTGCCGCCACGGGGTCGAGCGAGTGACAAGCAGCCGAGCCGTACATGGCTGCGAGTCTTATGGAAGGCAGACACGTGGGCTGCGCGTCTTGTCCAGGTGTAGGCTCAAATGGAAGCGATGCGCGGTTCGTGATCTTTTTTATCTAGGGTCACGTGAGATGTGCGGTTCGTGATCTTCTAATGACTGTCCCTCAGGAGTCTAGGGAGTATCCTTCTTATGTCAATCTGCGACGGTCAGATCGCGCTGTCTTCGCCGTCGGTTAGAGTCTTAAATAAAGGGAGATTGGTCTATGTAGGTCGTTCGAGGTCATGTGTGCAAGCAACTTGAGACAGGTCCTCGATAAAGAGTCAAGAATCGGACATTGTGAAGGCGAGGACTGAAATGTGTGCGGTTAAATAGCACCGACCGTCGTGCTTCGGTTGGGAAGGGAGAGGGGGGAACGAAGAGCGAGGCTGGACTTGGGGAGTCTGCCTGATGCGAAGCTGACGCGCCTGTTACGGTTGCCAGCTAGGAAGCTGACTCCAAAACCAAGAACTGTACAGCTGAGTCGCGGCCCGACAACGCATGAGCACAAGAGTTAGGTGAGCAGGATGGGTCAAGGGAGGGGGGCGCTGCTGAGTCGCCCTAATGTCAGGCCAGGTCCGAAATGGCACGAGGAGCAACGCACGGCGAGAGGCGTGCGTGGAAATGGATATGAGCGTTGTTTTTGGCTCTTGCTGTGAAATTGTCCAGATGATGCTGCAGCTGCTACGGTGCCTGAAACGATGGGGCGGGCTCGAGCCAATTTCACATAACATCGCGTGCGGTGCTCCTGGAGCAAAATCTGCTCGAGTCGCGAAATTCTAAATTGTGTCCGAGCCGCTACTGGGAAAAACTGGTCGCGCCTAAATCAAATGTCGGAGGCAGCACGACCTAATGCCAAATGGCAGGTGTTAAGTGGTGTATCTTGCCGTGAAATGCGTAGCGAAGAGATGATTGGGGGTTGTTGGCCGTCGACACCACCGACGATCCGTGTCGGGCAGTACACAGTTTCAGAACTGTCGCAAGGGAGTCGTTTCGGTCGCATGTGACTCGTTTGAGTCGCAGGGGCCGCTGGGTTTCTTCGCATTACGCTTGCTCTGCAAGCAATGTGTCGCCGGACGACGTCGCACGCAACCGGAACTTTCCAGGTTGCTCCATTGCACTTTCCTTGTTCGAGCTCTAGGTGCTGCTGACTAGAAGAACAATCATAATATACAGTGCGAGATTTTAGTGCTTATTAGTAAATTCAAATATACGCAAAGAATCACATTTTAGAATCAGCCCTTTCCCCTACATTCCTTATCTTCCATATTTTTGTGCTCTGTGTTACGAATAGTGGTTAGTGAAAACACTATTGAGCACTCCTCACCGCAGCAACGCCGAAGCACGCAGTATCGAGAGTGAAGACGAAAAGGCAGAAGTAATGCGAAGGGACAGACGGTTACGAGGAGCATCTGTACCGTCGGGCAGACAGCATCAGGCAGCAGCAGTGGCGAGGATTCTGCCCGAACAGTTCCGTAACCACCCGGAGTCGCACGGTTGGATTTCGCTGTAATAAGGGAATGTACCCCTTAGAGTACATGGCTAGCTAGGTCGTTTCGTATTCCCCTGTACTCTTATTTATATTCCTTGTACTGCATGTTTTTACTATCTCAAGCATTTACATTCACTCTGCTATTGAGGTCAAGGGCCCACCACCACTAGATTAGGATTCTGCGAACCTTCCTGAGGTGATCCTGGCTACGATCAATTTCTGATCGCAACATGGTATGAGAGCGACTCAGGAATCCTTCGCACCGCCACCTCCGAAATCTGCGACATTCGGAAAGTGGCGTCCGGCACACGATCACGTGTAAGAATGGCCGGAGGATCTGGAGGTCAGACGAATCTGACGGCTGAAGTGCAGCCCAACCTGGCTGCGACAAGCGAGGAAACGACGACGATCCCCTCCGCCGTCCTCGCACAACTGCTTCAGCGACTCACGAGCCTGGAGCAAGGACTCCAGACATTGCGGAATGGCGACGCGGGAACTTCCTCCCAACCCACTCAACCGGCGTCAAACGGCCAGAAATCCGCCCCGCAAGGCTTCTCCCTTGACACAAATGGCTCAACACCCAAGACTCCCTGTCCCAGCGATGAAGCAATTCTCTCTGCGCAATCAAGGTTTTTGAGCATATAAAAAATAAAGACAAGTGTGTGCTTTGACGGCAGAGACTTTTACACCTGGAGCTTCGAGCTGGAGCTGCTGCTGCAAAACGCGCAGATTTATCATTACTTTGACGGGAGCTACTCGGGACCCACGGAGGACACTGACGACGCAAAAATCAAGCACTACAACGAGTCCCTGATGGCGTACGGGGTTCTTCTGCGGAACATGTCGCCGACAGAGCAATTGAGCATTCGCTCATACAAAACCTCGCGGGCTCCCGCCCTCAACGCCTGGCGTCACTTGAACGGCGTGTACCAACCCAAGGACTCGGTGTCGTCGAGCCGCCTGCTCCAGCAGCTACTGGAGACGAAGATGGCACCAGGAGAGAAGGCCAACAGCTACCTGAATCGCTGTCGAAGCTTACGCGATCAAATCGCGAAATTGGGGAGCACGATTTCTGAAGAAATCTTCGTCAACATCGTGCTCCAAGGGCTAGGCCCAGAGTGGCGGCCTTGCAAGGCGCTTCTTCGAGAGCAGGGGGTCATCTCGGAGGCCGCCCTTTGCGCCGCCCTTCTCGTCGAACAAAGGGATATGGACCAGCAGCGACCAGCGCCGCGACGAGATAGGGATCGCCTCGCATTCTTCGCCGACAACACAGAAGAGCGACGGCCGCGGCGCCTCTACTGCAAGATCTGCAGAAATTTCGGGCACTTGGCGGATCGTTGCAAGCATCGATCTCGCCCTCGCCAGACCAATCCGAGCAACTGGTCTGGCCGACAAGACGTAAGGAATGATACACGTCCCGCCCCGGGGTACCAACCCCCATCGCGCAACCTGAACTCAACCGTTCAGCAGCAGCAGCAGCCATCACAGGCCGCCACCGTCCGCAACGTCATGGGGAACATGACCATGACGAGCGGTTCTCGTCGCCCGCGCGCACGCTCACTCTCACCTGAGCCTGCGCCCGACCCAATCGAAGCGTCCTCGAACAACAATCCGTTCAGCACGCGTCACGACTACAGCGACGACGACAACCAGGACTGGAATCTGCCAATCCCGCTGCTTGAGAGCCCTCCGCACGTACCTGACATGCGGCCGGCACCGATCGACTGGATCGCGCGCGGACAATTTCTCAAGGTTGACACTCCGCACATCGTCACTCCGCGACTGGCGCTGCTCGCGCGAAACGACAACAGGCGCTACAACAAGTGGTACCTGGACAGCTGCTGTGGGCAGCATATGGTGGGCTCCGAGCGTTACATATCCAACGCCGTCTCCACCCCCGTCGTCACCTACGTCACAGTGGCGAACAACACACGGCTGCGCGCAAGCGCGCAAGGCATCGTGGTGCTCAAGGCACGAGGGAGCCGAACGCACATCACACTTAACGACGTGTTGATCGTGCAGAACCTGCGCTTCAATCTACTCTCGGCGGCGCAACTACTGGATTGCGGAGTTCTCCTCAGCACCGACCCCGAGACGCGTGACATCCTGCTCCACTTCGAAGAAACGACTCTCACCTACGGAAGAGGAGGCTTTGGCGCAACGAGAAGCCGAAGAGCTTCGGCAGAAGAGCCTCGCCGAGGCACGCGGAACGCTCGCCTGGGAGCAGGACGAGGAAAGCGCCTCCAATGAAGGGGGGTGGGGGAGCGCCGGCGGATGGGGAACGAGCGACACTAGCGGCTGGGGTGCCGCAACTAGCGGCTGGGGTGACGCAACCGGCGGATGGGGCGCAGCAACAGGCGAAAATATCGGCGGATGGGGCGCCGCACAAGGCGGCGAGACGAGCGGCTGGGGAGCCTTCCGCGAGGAACAAAGGGGGGAAGAGGAAGCAGAACCTGCGCAAGTTGAGGTTGAGCCTCCTACTGTCCCTCTCGGACGCCCTCCGCGCCGCCCTGCATTAGGACCTCCGCCACCTGACATCCCTTCAGGAAGTGATCCCTAGGACACCATTGACTGGGGCAACGAACCATCTACCCCGCGTCGCACCGTCTACGGACCTGTACCTGAACCGCGCGAACCAACCTACATCCCTGGCACGATCCCTGGAACCAATATCCCTTACTCCATCATCCGCGACCAAGAATTCCTCGCCCTCATGCTAACGACGGCGAACGAGGAAGAGGAAGAGAATGAGGAAGCAACTCCCACACCTGCACCAGCACCTGACGAAGACCCCGCAGCTGCACTCGCGCGTTACATGCGCACCTCCGGATTCCGCGCCGACGACGCTATCTGGCATCAGCGCTTAGGTCACCCTTCACGCACGACTCTGAAGAACTGCATCGAAGCCGGCGTCTTCGCACCTGGTGCGCTGCTACGCCCTGATGGCTCCGAAGTGAGAGGAGGAACTCACCCGCGCAGCTGCACCGTCTGCCCCGAAGCCGCGCTGAGTCACCAGCCCTTCCCCCTACTCGACCCAGGAACCAATCGCTACGCCAAGCTGGAGAAGGTGTACAGTGATTTTCTCAACGTAGGTCACTGCGGCATCAACGACGAGCTCTACACACTCACCTTCGTCGACGCCGGAACGCGCCACGTATGGGTCGTAAACGTGGAAGCACGCAGTAGAGCCTACGAAGCATTCCGCCTGTGGCTTGCGCACGCGCAGCGGCAATCTGGGGAGAAATTGAAGATCTGGCAGTCCGATGGCGCAGCGGAGTTCAGGAGCAAGGAGCTGAAGGATCTCCTTGCGCAAAAGGGCATCGAGCATCACATCTCTCTCCCCTTCACGCATCAGCAGCAGGGTGTAGCAGAACGCACGAATCGCACACTCATGACGAAGGTGCGGGCGCTAATGCGGCAGGCGAAGCTCCCGCCGATCTACTGGACCTACGCGATGCACCACGCCGTGCGGGTGCACAATCTGCTGTCAA